AAACATATAAAAAAAGAATAGTACTATATAATCGATTTTAAAATAAGAATAATTCATCGTTAATTCGTATATTAATCATTTAAATTTATATTTTAATAACAACAAACAATTTTAATAAAAAGAAACAAAATTCAACTTTATTTAAAATATCCAATAATTGTTTTAATTTATCAAAACTATGAAGGTTTATTTCCACATATTTTTATAAATCATAATTGAATATGTAATTGCTTTAAATGCGTTTATAATAATCTTATAAATTGAGATATTATATTTGAATCTGATAATTAACAAATAAAAAACATAATAATTTTTATTAAATGAATGGATGTAATGTAACATATATGTTTCAGTTTGTAAATATTTTATATATATTTTATAAATATATGTATTGATAACAAGATTGAAAATTAATCAACAGCTTAAACAAGCATGATTGTTTTTGTAAAGAATAAAAACATCTCAATTTTAAATTATTAAATACTGTATATTTATGCATTTTTGATAATCTATTAAGTCAACAAACACAGTCTTTCTTTATTACCTTGCTATTTATTGATATTTATAATTACCAAATAAATAACCCTATGAATAACAGAAGCCAATAGAGGATAGAGAATGAATATGTCCTAGAGAATATACTAGCCTTCAGTTGCCCGTCGGTGACCAATTGCATTTTTAAAGCCGATATTTTGAAACTATATTTTCGAAAATTTTTCTCTTTCTAGATTTGGTACGAAAATCAAACCAGTTATCGAGGGAATATGTCATTAGAATGGTAAATGTAGTATTAATGAGCCCAAAACCAATATTTAATTTCGATATTACAAAAAATTCTTTTATTTTACTTTTTAAAACTAAAAAAATTTTGATAAAGGACAAGAGTTTTTATTTTTTGCATTTTTTTCTTTGAATATAATTTTAAGAAAAAAAAAACAGGATAAAGCAGCAGGAAAAATAGAAGAAACAACAAAAACGAGTAATTTTTTACAGTTAAACATTTTTTTATAAAAAACACATTATTAATGAATAAAGATAAGCTATAGTATGACTAGGTACATTGTTTAACATAAATAGAAAATTTCACGTTTTCAAGATCACTTAAATTCTATAACCATTTGGTCTTTTGTAGAAATATGATTAGAGGAGGTAGTCTTTGTATTGCATATTATGATTTCTGTTATATATATTCAAATCATAGAAATTATTCTATTATTTGAATTTTTTATTTACAAATCTATATTACAGTAATTTGTATAGTTTGAGAATAATAACATGATTAAATAATTTCAGCTACCAATTGAAAAAAATTATATTTCTTTAATGTTTTTTTATAAAATTGTTTGACAAAGATATAACAATTTGTAAAAATTGGGTTGTAATTAAAAAAAACATAAAAAACATTAAATTTCTGACATAATTAAATTTGCATTTATTATTTTAATATTTAAAAAACAATTTATAATAGTTAGGTATTTTTTAAAACGATATATTTTTTTTTACCGTAAAAGACAATCTTATATTACAAAAATATAATAAATTTTGTTGAAATCTGCACTAAAGATATAAAAAAACATAGTGTCGCGTTCTAGTTCTTCTTGCTTAAAATCGCTGAAAAATCATGGATGCGCGGAGAATAACTAAAGAATTTTTTCGTGAATGAACCCTTTATAGACTTTGATGTTTGTTTTCTTGTATAGAAAAATTTCTCTGTCTTATATAATTTCCAACTTATTTATATAAACATCATTCATTATTGCAAATAGTCATACATTTGAAAATATGATGTCATTACCAATACAAAAATAAACGTCAAAATACCAGTCAGAAAATAATGTCAGCATCAAGAGAACAAAAAGGTCCATAAATGTTGAAAAATATTATGTTTATTAATCAACAGGTCGTATATCAGTTAAGATAGCTACATTAAATAAAAAAAACCATTTATTATTTGAATTATTACTTGATTATAACATTGAGAACTTCATTTTTTTTGTATAAGTATCAAACTTGTAATTTTGTGTAGTCTAATTTTATGTAAAAATATCTGTATATTTAGATATTTAAAATTATATATCAAATGATTTAACTTAATTTTAAGGTTTTAGTAGCTTTAAAAAAGTCTATTATCAATTTCTCTTATTTTCTGTTGCTATCTATAGCACTTTTTCATCTTTTATTTTTTTATAATTCTAAATCTTTTTATAGATGTAAAATGGTTTCAGTCTATAAAAAATACATTTTATTTCAATTTATCAAGAAATGCGAATGTTATTGGTCACATTTTGATAATATCGATTATCATTCTTGCCTTTGAGACTATAATTCATGTAAATTCACAAATAGTGATCGTCTCGAAGTTCGGCTTATAATATTAGGTGTTGATTATATTTTAATCTATAACTTATTAAATTATTTTAGTTTGAAGTATTTCATATTAGAAATACATTGGAAAATAAATATTTTAAAAATTTTAGTATATATTTCAATCATAATGTCATATTCGACACATCAAATACAAATAAATCCATTGATATGTCGAATATAAATACTTTTTCTTTTTTGATTCCCATGGAAAATAGTAATACCAATACGAAACAAAAGATAGAGAGATTGACAAATGGAATAATTAAAAAACCACCGATGGATCTAGTTATTAAGTTATAAATAATTATTATTCACAAAATAAATGCTTTTTTTGTTAAATTTGTGTAACTACTATCGGTAATCCGGGAAGTATACAACTAAAAAAATCCAAAAAATAGCAAATATGTTTTAATTCCGTTAAGAACAAAATTACATGAGATTAAAAATTATCCATAAACTATAGAATCATATATTGATGACTAAAAAAAATCATATTTATTAACTAAAATTAAATTGTTTAATGTTTTCCAAAAGTTTGAATAAAAATATTGAATATTTAAATCAAATATAATGAACATTGGGCAAAAAGTGGATAAAAACCAATTAGTTAATAATTATAAACATTGGAATATAAAAATAAACTATAAGCTAAAACTCGAATCGTGATAAAAATTTCAACACTAATATTTTTTTGACATATAAATAAAATATTCCCAAAATCTGATATTTATTTTAAATGCTACTCCTTCTTATGTCTTTTATTTCCATCACGAATATCAACATATGTGAGTTTATTTTTTAATTTAAATTTTTCGGTAGATTTATTGTTCTTTTTTTCTTTATTGCTGTTGATATTGCTAAATGTGGAAATCCTATTAATTATCTCATTTCTGGCCTTAATTCCAAAACTGTTATCCTTACACTCTGTTCCAAAATAGTCTATTCTAGAACATAATGCAATTTTTGCAGATAGCATTCTAGCAATTTTACCTCTATGATCTGGTTCAGCCATTTGAACAAGATCGCTGTTATAGAGTAAACCATATTTGGGTGTATTTCCATTTTGCTTTATAGCAGTAAAAAAAGCTTTTTCTGCACCCTGAATTTGCAAAGTGGACGCTGGTGCTTTAGCCATTGCAGAAAAAGATCCCATCTTACTCAAAAGTTTTGATGCAATATTATGCCCTAATAAAGCTGATAAATTTGGTGATATGCTTTCAATTCTGGAAGAAAGATATGCATTGAGTTCTTCACGATACGAATGGTGATTAATAATATATGTGACACAATCAATAATTTGCTGTAAATCCGAATTATCTAAAGGTGACCCGACACTGACTTCTGCTAATTCGATAATTTTATTGACAATTATTTTATTAATATCTAAAATATGTTCCAATTTCCATGCAGGTGTGTTTTTTTCAAACTCAACATCTAAATCATTTAATATATTTGCCTTGTCTGAATCATTTGGAGATACTTTTTCATCCTTATTCGCTTTTGATTTAATATTTAAATTATTTTCTCTTCTTATGTTTATGGATGAGTTCTCTTTTTTTTCAACACTAAAACAGTTAACTTGCTCATCGGAAAAAGAATCTTTGGCTATGTCACCTTTATTCAAATTATTATATTTCAGAAATTCGAATCTGTTTCCGATTAATTTGATTGCCTTCAAATATTTTAAATTATCGGAAAAAAGTTCCTCAAGTTCAGGAAAGTGATTTCCGTACCATTCACGTATGCGCATAGTCTTTAGATTAATATCTGAATCCATTTCTTCAAGTAAAAAAACAGCATTTATGATAATTCCATCGAAGTTGTTATTGTTTTTAATCTTTTCTTGGCACAATCTATGTGCGATAGACACTGTCCACGCATCAAAATGGTTTTTTTCCAAATTTAAAAGTTTATAGAAGCTTTCTTCATCTTTAATCTTTTTTATTTCACAGCTATCTATCTTACATTTTGTAGCTGTATTTTTCTGGATTAGTTTTGAAAATTTTTTGTCCGCTGCATACAAATTTTTGAATTGATTATTTTCAATGAAAGACTTTAAGTTGTTTGGAAGCTCATTATTCTGTAACTTTTTAAGTGACTCAACCGCTTCATCATGTGTCGTGAAAATATACTTTGCTTTAAGATTATAACTATTTAGCTTTTCGATGACAAAATAGCCGAGCGTTGTATCCAATAAAAATTCCATTTTATGGGTATAGCAAAAAAATTGTCAAACGTAAATGATCTATTTGAAGAAAAATATCAAGAATAATTGTTGCTAAAATTTAAAATCTCATGTAAAAATTTTTATTTAATGTACTCATTATAATTAATTTCTTTTCAAACGAAAATAATGCGACGATACAAAATTTTGGTATTCTGATAAGAGTAAAAAGAAATTTTAGAATGTCAACTATTAATTCTCTAAATCATTTAATTTAACGCCTTAGTAAAAAGGATATATTTTTTAGAACATTTTAAAATGTTTTTCAAAAAATTTTAAAGCATTTTTATCTTAAAAGTATAAAGATTAAATTTCAAATTCTGACAGAAAAACTAAAATTGTGTATAAGTTACTTTCATTAATAACTATGCACCCGCTTTTAGTTCACCTAATTAGGATTATAAAAAATCGACAGCAGCAGGATTTGAACCTACGCGGGCACGCCCAACAGATTTCAAATCTGTCGCCTTAACCACTCGGCCATGCTGTCTGATCCATGAATACAAATATATTTTATTAAAAACAAACAATATTGCATTAGAAGAAACTAAGAAAATTATAAGATACTTTTTAAATTATAAATTTTTTGTGAAATTTGTAAAATTTTTAATATATATCAAAGAATTTGTAATAAATCTTTTAATACTAATTAAATAAGAATTATGTCTAGAAACCCGCTGTAATCGAAAATTGGTGAAGAAATTTAATTTAAATTTTTATCATGTGTTTAGCTAAATAGTTCTAAGTTTTTAAAAAGAAATAAAGAATATAACACTTGTTTTTCTGTTTAGGAAAGTAATATCAGAAAAAACTGGTATAAAATTGTTTGTAACTAAGAAATAAAACAATTTTAGACATTAAATAATTTTTAAGATACTTGAATAATATCTTAATAATTAGATTTTTTATATTCTTTGTTAAAATTATTAATTGCATTGTGTGATCATTAAAAAAACAGAAAAATATGTTATAAAATAGTCTTTCAATATAAAAACGTTTAAATTATTACCTTCAAGGCACAAGACATGTGAAATTTATAGTTTAAAAGGTAACTACTCAGAAAAAGAAGAATTTGTTTTTTCAAAATTATTTAATCACTCAATAGGATTTGTAAATGTTTATACATTATAATGTAAAAATATTTTTGTAAATCATAAAAAATATATTGAGTGTTGCAAAATCAGGTTGCTCAATTTTAAATTTACTATTTATTAATTTACTTGAATTAAACCGATTAAAACAAACTTTTAAAATTCCGACAAGTGCCAATTACTTGACAATTATTTACTTTTCATTATAGAATTATCCAATATTTGTTTTAAAAGATACGTGTTTATGCTTGTTAATTTATAAACATTTTTTTAATTATTAATATTTTTCTGATCTTTTATTTTAAATATCTTATTTTTTACGGTTATATTATAAAACAAAGAACTAAAATTCTTTTGACACCCCAAAAATCTAGAAAAAACATACATTATTGATGCTTATCTAGCTATCAGCATAGAATCATTTTAATTTATGAAACAAAAAGCTAAAAGATATGAAGTGCGAAAATAAACTTGAACATCAGGATTTGCCATATTTTTGCAACGATAAGTAGAGATATAACAGGCCCTTTATCGACACCATTGACACAATGAACAATTACGAAACGAAAAAAAAAGAGTAATTTCTATGAATGAATACAGTTTTAATAAAAAAAATTACACAGCACATTTGTCTTTTTTAACTTTTAATTTCATTTCTAATCTATCATAAGAATTTGTCGAAACAAAAACACAAGTTATAAAACATTATTGTTAAATGGATCAACTTCGATTCATTTTATATTTAGGTAGGATTAAATAAAATATTTAAATCCGCTATATTTTTTGAACTATAAAAGGTTTTAAAAACATATCCCAATTCAAATTTTAAACTATGACGAAAATTGTGGCACGACAATCGAGAAGTCTCACCAGAGCGTTACCGTTCTGATAAAATATTATATAAAAAATAGTCTAAAACTCTTATTTATACCTTTATTTTTAATTTTAAACCATCCTTCAGCTGTATAACGCAATGTAGTGAATCAACTTTCGTATTAAATTGAGATACTTTTGAATTTCAAGCAAAATACTAAATTTAGAATAGTTCGGTATCTAAAAATTTATGGAATTTTCAATGTAAAGTGTCATAACTCGATGTTTCGCGAAATTAGTAATAAAATCGATAACGTTTATGCTATTTTATGTTTCTTTGATTATTAATATCTAACAATATGTTTAAATGCAGAAAATAATAATAAAATATTTTTTTAATTTGTAATTGTAAAACAATTTAAATCATTTTCCATGGTTTAGGTTTATTTTCGATATTATTTTTGATTTCGACTCATCAAAGTAAAATCAACAACATTTAATACTTTCCATCTCCTCAATAGGGAGATGAAGAATTTCTAAAACAGATTTTCCTAAATTTATCAGTACACAATAAAAAAATTTACAAAAACTTTTTAATATAGATCAAATTCCAGTCATATTTTGATTTAAAACAATTTCTAAAAACTTAAAATCACATAAATTAATTTTTTCTTTATTTTTTATTTAAAAAGTGTATTAATGGCTTGATATTCAACAATCATCGTCACTTTATTTAAAAAACATCAAAAAAAGCGCTAATATGCTGAATCATTTAAACGAAACATTTAAATAAATTAAATCATGAAATTAATTGCATTGATGAGTTATTCACTTTTTAACAAAAAATTATTAGAAAAAGTTTAAAATTGCTTTCTTCATTTATAATAAGTGTTTTTAAAGGTTTAATTAGATTCCGAACAACTTCTAAATATTATTCTTCTATAATTTTCAAAAAAAAACCTTTTATATTTTACCAAATGTGTATAAATATTGCGAAAAAGAAATATCTTTTTGCGATATTCTCACAGAGCCCGATGCGAGTAACGTAAAAAAAATAGATTAAAGAGCTTAGTTAGAATTTTTATGATTATTGGAATGTCTCTTTGGTAGTCTGTCGGGTTATTCCTGCGAAGTAGGCCTACAAAACCCCTTTTTTGTCTCTGTTGCTGTTCTCTATTGTTGTAAATTTTAAAGTAAAGTTAATAGAGCATTTATAAATTAAAAATATAGATATTATGGAAGGATAGAAGCAGGGTGGTGTTTTAGGAACAACAAACTGCACCGTTGAAATCACATTGAGTACAGGTAAGTGGTAAACCGCATTATTATATTTGTTTTTAGTTTTATTTCAAAAATTTAATAATAATAAAAGAATGATTTACAATTTGAATGGGGTATAAATGTATAATTATATATTATTTTATAAATTCGCAAATTTTTTGAAAACAGGCAAATTGTATTTTTGTAATAAATGCACAAATAAGAAATAAAATTTCTATACAGTGATGTCACTTGGGTTTTAGTGTTTATTAGGCAAAAAAATAACTAAAACGGTGTTATGGTTCAATGATATTTAATATTAAAATTAAACCTGGTAATAATAAATCCCTTATTGTTATAAGTTTCTACTCTAATATTATTTGGGTTCCTCTTCAGAAATGGCTTTTTTGGTTTTTATTTTATATATTTTCTTTGAGAGTTATAAGAAAACTATAACAAAAATTAATGTATAGTTTAATTTTTAAGCTAATTTAGATATGAATTGAACGATGCTTACAATAAAAACTTAAAGAATTTTCACAAAAGACATTTAAATTAGTTCCTGTACATCGTATTTAATAATTTGTTGAAAAGATTTATTTTATTAATTTAGGAAAAGGTAATTTAAAATTATTGTTACAAATAGAAAAAATTAAATGACGATACCGCAACGCAGATACTAGAATTGGTCGAAAATCGGATATAAAATGATTTCGAAATGGTTTTTCAATGTAGTAATCAGATATAAATAATAAATAATAGTCTTCAATGTTATTATTTAAAAGTATAAATACACCGATTATATTCAATAAAGAAATATAATTAATATTCAATTTTTTATAGGTTCTTTCGCCATTTTATATCTGGTAATTATTTAGAGATTTTCCAAATATTAATTCTATATTGTCATGTAAAGTAGAATGATGTTATGTTTTAAACCAAATTATTGTAAAATTTTCAATACCTGTCTTGCCGCCATATTATTTACTGGAAATTATTTAGAGATTTTCCAAATTTTATTTCTATTTTTTCGCGTAAAGAAGAATGATTTTTTGTTTTGAAATAAAATTCCATTTAATTTAGTGACATGCTCTTGACTATAAATTAATTTATTGTGTTGCTAATATTGCTATTGATATCACTACTATCAACATTGTTATTAAAACTATGGTTATTCCTGTTACATTATAATCTTAAGCTTATGAAATACTGTATCTTTACATCACCTCTCCCTCCATTTTATATTAATTTTTATCACTTAAATAACTATTTGTATTTTTTACCTAAATAAATAATAGTTTAATTGGTTTTTGCATATGCCATTTACAAGTTTTTTCAAATAATAAGGTATGTGAAATACGATTTTATAAATACCAAAAGGCATTTAGTGCAAGTTAATTATAGTACATATCAAATATGCATTAATAAAATATGATATATTATTTTTAAAATGAGCTATTCTATCACCGTTCCTTTATAAGAGAATGTTTTTATAGAATCATTAATCTTTAATTACTATTAAAAAACCTAATTGAGAAATTTAATTTCTTTTTTTTGTTAGCCTACAAAATTTTAATTAATAATGACTTTTTAAAATTAGCACATCAAGATGTAATTTGATAAGTATATAAAGTCCCTATTTATTTTAGATGAAAATAAAATAAGCAAACCTTAAATTATATTTTGAAAGATAATATTTTGTTAATTTATATACATCAGAATATATATAACAAACTAAAAATTATTTTGTCACTTTTTTTAAAAAAAAAGTGACAAAATCAATTAAACTTGTTTCGAATGACAAAAGTATTAAGTAATGTTAATGTTGTTCTAAAAAACAGCAAGTTTTATGTACTACTGGCATTTTTAATAATATAAAAAAAATATATTATTATTAAATTATTCGAAATAATGCATTTGTTGAAATTTTATTTAAAGAAATTCAAATACAAATAAATTATCATCGTATAAAATATGTAATTTTTTCGAATTGTTAAATATTAATAATTTTATCAAAGATATAATAAAATTATGTAAAAACAATTTGTGTTTTCTACAAATAATAGGTTTTTCTTGGTAAAAAATAATCATTAGTTGACAAAATTAAAATTCAAATTCTGAAATTTAAATTTTATTTGTCGATTCTATATATTGTTGGATCACATTTTATTCATGGTATTTTGTAAAAAAAATTTATCGCGAAAAATTACACCCACCTTATTTATTCTAAAGCATAAATTTCAACTACCCAAGAACAACATTGATGTTTTTTTGTGTCATCAATTTCAAAATTTTAGAATAATATCAACATAACAAATATATGCCT